TCTCCATGGCGCCTCAATGGGGAAATGGTATGGATACAGCCAAATTGACCGCCGTCTCTGCACCGCTATTCTCCAGTCTCTCTGCTCTGCATATTCCCGTCGCCGATTCCAAGTACACCGAGTTCGACGGCGTTCTCAACACTGTCATAAACACTTGGCCTGCAGAATCCGAAGTCGTTGGTGCGTGGAACTTCCACACTGCTTCCCGTCTCTTCCCGCGCTCCAACTGGGAGAATGAAAGCAAGCTAGCTGCGCAGACGAAAGCTTTGCGTCAAAGTGTTGAGGTTGCTGGCATGATGCTTGGGTACAACTTCAAGACTGCAGTCAATCCTTCCGTCAACCAAACTAATGCCGTGAACCCGGCCTTCCGCGAGACTTTGATGCACGCGATGCTGGGAACCGTATGGAGTCAGGAGGCCACTCCTGCAGAGATCGCTGCTGCGAACAAGAATTTGGTGGACATGCTGCAGCCATGGCGTGAAGCCAGTCCCGGCGCCGGAGCGTATCTCAACGAGGCAGACATCAACGAGCCGAACTGGCAACAGGCCTTCTACGGCAGCAACTACGACTACTTGTATCAGCTCAAGCAGAAGTACGATCCTTGGGGATTACTTTATGCGACAACGGCTGTAGGTTCTGAGGATTGGTACATTACGGATCAGCTTGAGTATTACCCAACTCAGAACGGGCGACTTTGTCCGAAGTGAGGAAGTGTTCTTAGTCTATAATGCCTAATCAAACTTCATTACGGGAAACCCCCCTGTCTAAACATAGGCAAAATCTGGAGTGTATCTGAGAAATGTGATCATTTCATGAAAATTATATGATTTAGATAAGGCGAGAGGGTCAATAATGTGAACGTTTGTCAAGAAGATTTTGAAATAACATATTACAGTCTAAGCAGTAATAGGTAAGTCCTACCCTCTCCAAAATTTCCGTTTTAATGGGTGATCTTGGAACATATACAGCAGAACGCAGGCGTTAAGGTATAGGAAGAGTGCCAGTACAGATTAGAAAACAGTTCCCTTCGTCTGTTTTCCCTTCTCCTCCTCCACAGTCTTAACGTTGATGTTACGCCAGATAAGCAAGGACAAAAGCACTAGGGGAATGAAGGCGCAACCAGCAATGACCATCTTCCGCTGAACGTCTGCATATGCCGCAATAATCGCCGTGCGAATAGGGCTGCCCATGGGGTACGAGAGCTGCGTTTCGATACTGGCGTAAATGCTTGCAGTAAGGTCCTTGCTGCCTTCGGGGAGCTGGGCATAGATGTTCTTCTTAAGAACATTGTTCCAGATACCACCAGCGATAGCTAAGCCGATGGCAGCACCGATGGAACCGAAGAGCCCGTGCAACGCGAGAGCAATGGCGATCTGCTGGTGAGTGACAGACGACATAATGGCGATTTGGGAGCAGATGCTGAAGATTCCGCTGGCAACGCCGTTGAAGATCTGGCACATGACAAGGTAACCAACGGTGGTTGACGGGGTACGGAAGTGAATGAGTAGCGCAGTGCCGAGGACGCAGATAGGTACTCCGGAAAGAGCGATGTACTTGAAGCGGCCGGTGTATCGAATCGCACTTGGATTAGGGTTAGTAAAAGGTCTTTGACTGATGTACAAGTGGACTCACACTCCGATGAAGGGAGAAATGATTGCAGAGGTCAAGCTGAAGGCATTGAGGATGTAGCCAGAGCTCGTAATATCTTGATTGTGCGCGACTTGCAAATAAGATTGGTAATATGAATCCCAGCAGCTAAAGATGGCTGTTAATACAGGATTGGCATGGAGACGCCGTTATATCAGTGTCAACTTACTAGATGGAGGCGAACATGATACCGTATACCAAGCAGGCGCCCAGAATGGTTCTATTCTTCAAGAAGTGGTACGGGAACAGGGAGACTTTGGCGAAGTTTCTCTCCCATAGAGCGAAAAGAGCCAATCCAATGACACCAAAAACAATCAAGCAGATGATCGTAGGGCTCTTCCACTGATGGGTGGCATTGGAGACAAGAGAAAATGGTAACAGAAGCATGGACCATCCGGCCATCACCAAGATCAAGCCAACAACTAGAATCATTAGCAATTCAAGCTCCAAGGGGTGATTTGTATCTTTGCAAGTAGTTGCTACGTACCGTCAAATTCGATGAAGTAATGCTTGGTAGATTCCCAGGTAGACCGGGTCTTCTGCTTAAGGGGGATCAAACCAGTCTTCTTGGCTTTGATCTCGCTCAAGAAGAAGATAACAGCGACAGGAACACTGAAACCGATCAAGATGATGGCAAAGGCGCCGAATGCCCAGCGAAAGTTGACCTCATCATAAAACAGCTGCGCAATCTCAGGACCGGCAAAAGTCGTGGCGATCGTCGGCGTGCCGTTCAAAGCGATGATAGTCATACGATTTCTCAGGGAAGTCATGTCGGAGAGAACGATAGTGATGATGTAGATGAGCCCAAGATGGCCAACCCAGAAAATTGTCTGCGCGGCAGCGTACGTCTCAACGTTCTGGCACGTAGCCTTCATGATCATGCCGATGGTGACGAGGAAGACCATGCCGGCGAAGCCTTCCGCACGGCCGCGGATATCGATAATCTTGGCGATCGTGAGCTTGGAGACACCGCCGAGAATCGTGGAGACAATGCTGGTAGTCGCAAGCAATCCATGCTGACCGAATGAGGAGGTCACGTAAGGCGTCAAGTTGCTCTGGACAGATTGTAAGAGGCCGTCGGTGAAGGAAACGAGGTACAAGCTATGTAGAATCAATTAGGCGTCGATCGAAAGAATTCCATGGCGGTGGTGGAGAGCTTTCGCAGGGGGAATGATAATAACGCAAAGACTTACAGGGCAAAGACAACCCAGAGCATCTTCCAAGACCACACTGACGTGATGGCCTCCACCTTCTTGACACCATCTTGCTTGTGCTCGGGACCCTCCTCATAGTCGAGCTTCATAGGCTCGGCATGGATATCAACCGAGTTCTGGGCAGTGCTTTTTTCGATGTCGTTTTCGCCGGCAACATGGTTCTCCTCAGACACATGAGGCGTTGTCGAAGCGTTGGCGGCCATATTGGTTTCTACGAGATCAGCGACAGGCGGGTGCTGTAAAGAAGGGAACGCACTTTGGATGCGCAATGGACGTCTGAGCCAATACAATAACGATTGAAAAGAACGGCGCGAAGAACAAGAACTTAACAGATATGCACGGCGAGCAGATGGATTTGAAAAGATTTATTTTATCGCGTACCTGCAATGTCTGACCCATCGCTGATCCCATATGCGGACCCACGCTGTTAAGAGATCATCACCAATACACATGTATGCGGATCCAGAGCAACCTCTCATCAACAAGATATGATTCGTCCAAAGGATCTATTGTCCGTGATGGAGTGAAGGACTAGACGGAATACTTGCCCCTAGCGTCGATGTCCGGCGAAGCGGGAATCGCTCCTTATGCCGGCGAGCCGGCACCGCCACTGCTGACCGACCGCAAAGTGACGTCTGTCGTATCCGGTTCTCAGGTTGCCGCGGAAGTCGAGTCCGCTCACTGGCTCGGCGTCATCGGGGCCCCCATCATTTCCTCGGGCGGGCTCTCAAGTCGTTGCGGTTGCTGGACAGTTATCAGATGATCTGACAAGGTATGTGGTGGAGAGTGCGTCCACTAGGGTTCCTCTTTTAGTTGCTGTCGAGTCAGGGGCATCCCAGTTTACGAGGGAAAATTCTCATCGATTCCCTCGCATGCCGAGCTTGCTGTGCCTCGCTGTACGAGAAGAGCGACTGAGTGAGGAATCGGATCTCCATAGTAGAATCCGTCATTCTCAAACGTATGGAATCTTGGTCGGGATCTGGAACATTGTCAGTCACAATTTGGAGCCTGGGCTTTGATCAACGCGGGTCCCTAGAAGCCTGCCTGGCCATCATCACCTTTGCCATGTACCCGAGATCGCAAGACTGATGCGCAGGCACCAAAAAGGTCTTGTTACTGCTTAATTGAGCCTCCAGCCCCTGCATCGGGATTGCTGGCAAATGCTTCGCTCCCGCCGCTAAGCCACTCGCTTCAGCCAACTTAATTACCGACTGCAAGTAATCCATTGTCGGTTCCGGATTCCGACGCCAACAATAGCCTCTTCTTGCCTTTTCAGAAAACTGCCATCTCCCCATTCCAGAAGCCGCCATTGGATGACAGACATTGGATCATCGATCAAGGATATTCTTGGAAACTAGCATCGTATCAACGTCTCCGCCACGCTTGAGGTATTCAGAACTATTGTGACATAGTACTGCCATGTTTGGTTCTGCAGATGATTTATCAATGGTGAGTTGTCCATGTCACCATGTGTAGAGGGTGCAAAGCCGAGAAGCCAACACTGTAGCCGAAGTTGGAACGATTTGATCGGAATATCGGGGCAGCAGCCATTTCCTGATTAATTCCCTCACGAAGTTTGTGCTCCACTGAAGCTTGGGTTCTTACTTCCGAGTTCCATTGTGGACTGCGCTCAGCTTGCCGCCACATTAGGCTGACAATACCTCCTGCAAGATGTCTCCAGCAAAGAATGGGGCATTTGACTCGTGGCAACTATTCCCGATCACCCGCGACGACACAGTCCGGTGATCCTTCCAACCAGTGGTCAATGACATGAATAATGGGAATCGTGATTTGTGGCTTTCCAGCCTTTTGTGCCTTATTGTCTTGAATTAGCCCGCATTATCATTCATTTTGCCTTTTCTCATTCGACATTTGCTATGTACTTGCTCGTGAAGCTACGTCGCATAGAAGCTTGGTTGTGACATAAGCCTTGTGGTGGCGGTATCCTGGAAAGCTTCCCTCAAATGAGTTCATCACAGCCCTGATTGACTGACTGTCATGTTGAGCTGCTGATGTATGCCTGTTGTAAGCGACATGGAGAAACAGGGAATCTAGGTTCCATGCGACCAAAGGTAGCAAGTGCCTGAGCAGACAGTCAGAATACCATTTACCGGCGTCAGAACATTGATCAATGGTCACTTACGATCTCTGTAGATCACTCCTGTCAAGAGCATTCAAGACTGCTACCAACTCTCTAGTCGCGGAAGCGCAACTTGAGACAACGAGCGGTGTCTGATTACGAAAGGCTACGTTGTCAAAGAACGCAACATGTGAGAAGATTGATGAGCGAATGCAATTTTCAACCTGGTGAAAAGTGCAGAAGATGGTAGACAGCCATGGCACATGCTTCTTGTCGAGGTCTTTCGGTATCAAAAGTGGCCTGGTGAGTGCCGGCAGAGTATGTCTCCACAAATTCAACTCATTTAGAAGCTGATGGCTGATTTCAGCGTGTGACTCTTGTGACATTGACGAGGAGGCAGGTGAGCGCAACTTCTCGTATGCTTTACTTTGAATCTTAGCCAAAAGAAGCTGTTCTTTGAGGCAATTAAACGATGTGCCGTCTTGGAGATAAATACTTCCATAGCCATCATATTGTTCTTGCTTTGGAACATCTCGCACGATGTCTGAAGACAACAGCGGTGGCTTCCCGAGCCATAAGGAGAGGTTCTGGTCAAGTATATAAGCATGCGAGAGCAGACGATGATTGTGGGTTGCTCTTTCGGCCAAGGTGGTGGATATTTTGTGGAACCCGGCGAGAAACATCATTTGAGAGGCAACGCCTAGTACCATGGCTGATGTTGACAACCTTGACGTAGACGAAAGAAATAAGGCCTTTGATTGTTAGTAATCAGCTAGGAGATGAACAAGAATCTGGATCTGTGATGGCATACCATAAGAAGTAAGGCGCCAATTGTAACCGAATCTGGCGGCTCTAACATAAGTGATGGCAACATATTCAGCGCCGTGTGTAGACAGCGTTCTGAAGAGTCAACCTCTTCTATGCTATTAGATTGAATAGCGTAAGCGCACACAATGTTGACAGCGGCACAAACCTTTGGCGAAGATGAGGTTCGTCTGTGATCATATTCGCGAAAGATTGCAATAATTTCGCTCGACTGGAACATGCCACATGCGTTAGTTGACTCTGAAACGAAACCTGCGATCTCTTATATTAGCTTCATGTAAATCCGAAAGAGAGACTTCGGGCGAGACTCTGATAGACACTTGCTTTCAAGGCAAGCCTGTCTTAGATTACGCGGAACAGCTGTCTGTGACAGCGAGATCGTGAAGCGCGGCTCGCCAACTTGCTTCAATGACTCTATGGATGCAGTGCTGAGGCTGTGGTCACCCAAAATAAGATCGACGCATTTCGTGTTCAGCAATGAGAAGATCTGACAAAAACCTTCGCTTATTGTGAGCTTGCTGACGAAAGAGCCATGAAATACACAGTTGAGAAATTACCTTGATACGTAAAGTCAATGATCGACTGCGATTGATCGAGCATCGCGCCCGTGCCTCGTCGGACGAGTTGATAAAGAACATCTGGACAAGAAGCTTCAAGGCCAAAAGTTGTACAAGGCCACAGAAACCTTGAAGGACTATTTGTATGACGGTATGACGGTGTCGTAGCCAAGGGAGCTATCGAGAGAAAGGTTTCCAATTTGTTCTCGACTCGCTCTAATGACCGTATGAGATCATGGCGAGATCTACGTGGGGGCAAATGTCAGCGTCCATAGTTGATTCTCCATCAGTCTCGCCCTAGCATACTTCCGGCTTGTGGGTGCTCGTTGTCTTGTGTATGCATAATCGCATTCAAAAGTCTTAGACAAGCATTGTGAACATCGTGGCACAGCTGCATCGCACTTGATCTAACAGATGAGGTTGGATTAGCTATCAAGAAGAAGTTCCCTTGCTAAGGGATTACTCTCCTACCTTCCGCTTTCGGCACGGCGTGCAAGCCCATCTAGACCTCTGAGTCATGATGGGGTAGGGTCGTCTTGCTTGTTCCGACGGATATGATTGACCAGAATGTGCCGACGCAGTGCTAAGGAATAGAAAGTTGTCTTTTTGTTCCGTGGTTCAACTCGTAAACACATCATGAGTGATTTCTGGCGATGACGGAGTTCAAGCGGATATTGGAGTCAAACTCCGCAACCAGAGAGTTGTTCCGGTACCCGGGGGCCCGCGCCATGGGAGTGGGGCCGTTGTTCCGATCCCCTAATACCCGACACCACAACTAAAGACGTACAATGCTGAAGGAGAGCCAGAGTACTTAAGGAAAAACCCTAGCCTGAGATCAACTTTTAAGATATCTTGACATTGTTCTCAGACGTTCACCAACGCTCCGATGTTTCTCAAGACTCACAAAGTAGCAGTGTTCGGAGCTGTTGGGGAGTCTGGGGGTATTATTGTCAATGGCTTGCTCAAGTCAACATCTCCGTCCTTTGTGAGTTCACAAGTCTCGGTTTCCATTGGTTTCTCAAGCGCATATTCCCACAGAACTTGTGACTGATAAGTCTGTAAAGGAAGTCGCCGCCTTGGCCCGGCCCTCGTCAATCTCAAAGCCAGCGTACGAGGAGCTGAGAAAAAGAGGAGTCAACGCCATTGTCGTCGACCTTGACAAGCCAGAGATCGAGATCGCCAACACCTTGAGAGGATTCGAAATTGTAGTAGCCTCGGTCCACCCTGCCGGCATAGCGTCTCAAATAACACTGGCTAGAGCAGCCAAACTAGCGGGCGTCCAACGCTTTGTTCCCAGCGCATTCGCGATGGCTGTCTCGCCAACCGCCAAGTCTTCCGTCCAGAAGACGGTATGTCAGAATCTCACGGATTGGTGGGCTTTACGATATTTGTTATGTCGGTTTCTGACGTCCAATTGCAGAAGGAGTTGGTTTACGCTGAACTGAGAGCCATCGACCTACCGTTCACAATCATCGACGTCGGCTGGTGGTACCACGGGTTTATCCCTCAATTAGCTTCTGGGCGAACTGACTATACCGTTGTGTTGCCTGAGTTTCTACGAAATCTAGTTCCCGGTGACGGAAACATGCCGACACACGTTGTGGATTGTGCGGATATTGGAAAACTCATTCCTCGCATCATTGTGGACCCAAGAACCATCAACCAAAAGGTCATGGCCTCCTCAGCGACGATGTCTTTCAACGAGATGTTCGCCATAGCCGAAGAGCTTTCCAAGGAGAAAGTCATGAAGAAAGATGTAAGGCGGCTCCACGAGGCAATCTCTTGCGCTTTGATACACTCCCACTAACTACCTCATTCTCGCCAAGATTTCCGCGCAGGGATTGCAGTCGATGATCGCAGATTTTGATGCACAGCTACAAGGGAGCCCTCAAAATGCCCTTGCGGCAATTGGAAAGTTCTGTTTGGAGTACTATTATTCATCATTTATAGATGGAGACAACAGTCCAGACGGAGTCAGTCGCCTAGGCTATCTTCTAGCCGCTGATCTCTACCCCGACTTCCAGCCAGCATCTTTTCAAGATTTCTTGTTGGAAGTGTTCAAGGGCGACATCCGGATTCCTTATTCACGAAGATAGGTGTAGAGATCTCAAGTGGCGGCACGTCAACTGAACTGTCCAAGTGCTTTTCACACAATCTAGGACCAAGCCAAAAATGGCCACTTTTGGAGTTGCTGAGTGATGCCTTAGTTGAGTCAGATGAGCGAGACAGACTTTTGTTATTTCTTGAAGAGCTTTCAGGCACCCGGCAACTCAAAGCCAAATCCTCAAGCCCACTAAGAGTACGAGATTGTGAGAGATATCACATCTTTGCATCAACAGGTTTCGCAGAAGTTGATTTAACTCAGATTATTGTCATTCTTCTTATCAAAGTCTACGTGAAGCAAAGACTGTATATTCAAGGTCCGATTGATTTATCGTGCGACATCTCCATCTAACGCTACGTGTAGTATTGATAATGTCTCCCTCGCCAGAATGCATCATCACTTTAAAGGAGGCTGAAAGATCTAAAGAGACGCTCATAAAGATCAAGAAAGGGAGACAAGCTTCGAAAGACACCGACTGAACATAGCTGCAATAGTATGGATGCACTGGCGAATAGCAAAAGGTATGCCTGAGCAGCAGACTCAGTCCTAATTCCAGTTGACACCGCTGCAACGTCGCTCCAAGAATGAATGCGCTGGTGAAAGTAATATGCTGGGGATCATGACGACAATGAAAAGGTAAACGAAGTATGGAATCCGGAAACGATAATGTATGGGAGCGAACGGCTACTATAGTAAAGCATGGTTTATGTAAGAAGGAATGGAAGGAATGGAGGAGGCACAATGTTCTACATGATGATTTTGGACTTCGTAGCATAGCCTTTAGAGACAGCTTGTATTCCATCAGGTTTATGCGTTGTTGTTGTTGTTGTTGTTGTTGTTGTTGTTGTTGTTGTTGTTGTTGTTGTTGTTGTTGTTGTTGTCGTTGTTGTTGCTGACGTAGGCTACTACAAAAGTTTACAGGCATAGCTGAATTTCGTGAATTTGCCATCACATCGATCACGTACATGAGTTAGGTCATCGCGAGGTATGGAATCGAAGGCATTTGCCGAAAGACATCCCAACTGTAAATACAATTGACTTCAAGTAACGGGTGTGGTGGCTCATCTCAACAATTTTCGTGAAATCTATGCCTCACTTTCTCAATGTCGTCTCTTGAATGAAGAAAACGCATGATCGGGGTTTCCTCGTCATAGCTTTGCAAAATGTGGATGATTTCTTAATTTGTCTGAATTGGAAAAACTCATAGGCCTCTTATAAACGAATCATTGTCGACTAGCTCCCCACCGCTGCGTACCTGCACATCGACCTGGGTAATAACTTTGAACGTCTGACGGGACAGTACAACGCCAGTAATCTCTCCATTGCTTCTTAAGATGAGGCGGTCTTGAACATTATTCCTGTCGTTGAGATGCCTTGCCACAAGGTGACTGTGTGTCTTACTAGGGGTTTTACTGTAAATCTCAGATTAGTCGGAAGAATCATAGAACAAAATCATTCACACAACGGGGCGCAAACATACTGGCTCTCGTAGACTGAAGAGCAAGGCATGATTGTAGCTGTTGAAGCAAGTCGCAATACCCCCTCTGGTCGTAACTTGAGGATCTGTGGTCGGTGATTGAGTAGCTCCCGATAACTATGGGGAAAGTCAAATTGCATCTGGAGAGAAATAGCCATGACTTTAGACGCAATATAAATACTTGGAAACATCGCAACAAGCTTTTCCTGATCAGCAGCATGGTTTTCAGAATCAAACGCCTGAGATGTTATCTCTCAATTTAATGAATTTCAACTGACAGTCAATCGAAAAATTTCATACATAGTCTTCGACTGGATTTCGATTTCGTGAGATTCAAACTGACTGAACACAACTGACCAACCAATCGGGCTCTCATGCGTCCTTGCAGCAAATCTACAGGCACCCCTGGTCCGTGATAACAGTGTAACTGAGTACGTATCAGCCTCATCAGCGAGCAAACTCCATGCGGCTCCAAGTACTCCAGGGTGGTGACCCAAGAAGCATTCCTGTGGATTGAACGAATATTGAGATTCGTCTGAATTTTCAGCCGGGTTTCTCACCAAGTACCTTGCAGGCAACCACCGTGCCCAGCTATTCACCGAAAACGCCTTGCCAGGCTGGGAGATTCAGGCAACCGGGTTCATTGGTTGACTCCAACCCAATCAGATGTGTTCATACCAAGTCGACTGTACTGAGATTATGCTAGCCAATAAGACCATCGGCGCTACCGCTGTGCTACGCCCTGTCTCACATTTGGCTGCAAGTCCTGGTTTCCCCGTTGGGTTGCAGCAAATTGTAACTGAATTTCAATCTTTTGAAAATGAAAAATGGCCCAATCTCAGCCCTTGCTACCTCACCCTTGTCATAGCCATTATCTTGATGGCACGTGTCGTCGCGGTAGCTGATCTTTCGATCGGTTCGGGCTCCCCATTCCTTTCCCCCATCTGATTTCCTTGACAACTTGATACGGGTACGGCAGCTTCCTTCCTTACCTCACTGAAGAGTGAATCCACGGCCCTTCTCACTGTTCTACCTTCTGTTTGCATATTGGTTCGCAATAATGAACGACGAAAACGAGGCAGCAATTGAGGGTGTCACCTCAACCAAGAGCCCACAAGAACATACTATATATCGCGGTAAATCAGTCGAAGTTCCTTCAAAGCTAGCACTTCGCCGACAAAAGACTCACGTCGACGACAACCATTCAGTTGGGACTATTTCGACTTCATATTCCAAGGCCCATTCTGCTACCTTTTCGGCTCCTCACTTCGACTTCCACATGCATTCTCCATCGGCGACGACTCCAACCACATCTCGACCTCAAAGCCCAACAAGGCTGACCTCTGCGCCGGGCCAAGCCATGGAGCTTGGCCTTGTTGGTATCGGGGAGCATGTGAACGCATTGCCCTCAGGCAAGTTCGCAGATTTGCCGATTCTTTCTCGAGATTCCCGCCTACCAGAATCCCAGCTCCCCTCTGGCGGAGCTAGTACTCCGACTGGTATCTACAGCGCGGCTGAGTCACCGATTAGTGCTCGAGAGTCCGACTCTGGTTCTGATATCTGTCGCTCTGATTTTGATTTAGAGAGTGCTGCCAACATTGCTTTATCCCGTTCTCTTGGGGTGTGTCTTAACCGACTCAGTCACCCTCTTCGTGTCATCGAGGCGTTCTCCAAGTTTAAAGATCAGTGCGTCGAAATTCTGCAGCAAGAGGAAACGTTCTCGACAATTGACTGGGATGATGACGGCTTTTCCTGCTATGACGTCGAAGAGGGAGATGCTAGCGACGGCAACTCGGCATTTGATGAGACATCAAATCGAGCTCAACAATCAGAGTCAGGAACAAAGAAGCGACCGGCTGAAGAGCGAGGCGGAGACGACGAGCACGACGAGATGGACGAGAATGCTGGTCAAGACCAGGGCCCAACAAGAAGAGGACGCAGCAAGAGACGAAAGGTCGGGCGTCCAGGGGGTTTCAGCTGTCCCTTTAGAAAACGCAACCCCTGGAGATTCAACGCCCGGGATTTCGATGCTTGTGCCAATAAGCCCTACAAGCAAATGGCAGAATTAAAGTAAGTTCCAATGTTCTTGCAATACTCCCACAGCTGATTCCGAACATTGGATGTTTTCTTCCACGTTGCTATCTTTGGACAAGGCCTGACTCGGCACAATCACATAGGAGACATATTAGCGCTGAGCACGGGAACCAGTGGTGTACTTACTGTGGGCAACCGCGAACGGCTGGAGACCACCCGCCTGAAGTTTGTCTTCGCAACCGACAGTTAAATCCTAATTCCGAACCAAGAGATCCCGAAGATGGCGTGGACAGTCTCAAAGATGAGTCTCTTAAAAGTCGTGCTGCCGGCTGCAAAATTCAAACTTGGGGGCAATTGTGGAATCTGCTTTTTCCCGATGATGAAGAGATACCTTCGCAAAGTGTGTGGCACTAGCATTATTACGTAGACAGCTGCTGACGACGGTTATTATAGCTTTTGATCCTGTGATAGAACACCACGACATAGCCGCTGAGGGATGTGAGACTTTCGTCCTGAAGACTGCCGAAGACATCTTCGCTTTTATACCACAAGGTTCTGGTCTGTCATTACAGACCATTCAGGAGATCCTACATAGAGGGACGAAAGTTCTTCTCCAAGGCTCCAAGTATGCTGACTATGAGCGTTACAAGATGGTGGGAAACAACAATATGATGCAGATGTCAACACCCATGAAGGGCAAGGCTGCTGTTTCGGTGATTCACAGTCAAGTCGACGACGTTTTCGATGATGGCGAGTCGCCGGGTGTAATTGTCACACTACAATCTTCACCCCAGGGCGCACCTGTGATATACAATAGTACATCAACTGGTTTGAAGTCCTCTTCAGTAAGTTCTTGCATCGGGTTCACGCTGTGATCCTCATACTTACACAACAATGAAGATTTGCCGCGAACGACTGATTGCACCTAAAGTTGAGCGAGCTCCCACGCCAAATGTTACCAAGAAGGTGAGTTTTGCCAAAGGTTATTCTGTAAGTACTAACATGTCCAGACTTGTCCAGCACCTGGCGTGTTGATGCAGAATGGGCCTCCCATCTCTACTGGAGGTCATCAACCCCCCATCGTCTCGGATCTACCAGCTGGGGACACTTTCGATTGGCCAGGCGTGGACTTTCAGAACTGGGATGGGGGTTACGGGGACGAGTTTGTGTGTATGGAAGGTGCGACCACCGAAGATTTCTGGCCGTCATACATGGTCTCAAAACCTGGATCAACCTCCCAGACATTCACTAGTTCGGAGAGTCACAGCTAGGCCTAATTATCGTTTCATTTGATCTTTCCCTGGTTGTGTAGGTAGTTATTCGTAGTGCTTTTATCTAGATGCTTTTTTATTTCAAGTACCTTCATTACGGGCCGTCCATCGAATCTCACACTGTAGACGGACGTGCGACTTAGACTATGATGTGTATACCATTGAACTGGAGGCGGATAGACACTGCTCTCGCAGAACCCTCCACGGTTCCATAACTCTCTCGCGTGATCTTCTCTCTCTATCTCGAGAGCGCATGCCAAAGCCATCTACAAACCGGGCCTTCGGATGTGCACCAGCAGATTGCCGTTGCCCCACGCATACTCTTGGCCCTGGACAGTGTTGTCCGCACGAGTGCAGCTGTCCATAATAAGACCGCCGGCACGGGCAACGTCGTTACTGGGGCAGAGGTATCAGCATTATGTATCTGATGTCACACAACTAAGAGATCAGGGGCCAGTTCTCACCAAGCTGAAGAAGTAGAGGCCGCGTTAGTGCCTCCCTTGACACCGGTGATTTGAGCATTGCCAAGGAGACAGAAGACAGAGACAGACGAAACAACGCATGCCTGGCTGCCCTTACGGGCAAGGTCGTTGATGCAAGATACCGCGTCAGGGACCTGGTTCGGATCTATGTCAGCGGTCTCGATCCTATCAAGCCAGGGTGCTGCAAGAGAGAAAGGGACATACGGAGGCTTCAGTGCCGGCAACAGTGTTGCAAGTGACGCGCTTCTGGAGAAGGCTGTTGGTCGAAGTGGTGCCGTCAGACTCGGTGGCGTTGACAGATTCTCTCCAGGCCTCGACAGCTTGGCTGGGAGTCAAGTTGTCTCCTTCGGGGTTGGCAATAATGCCATCGACCCACTTGGCGAAGGAGAAGACTTCCGCGGCATCAGACTGGGTCGCGGTGGGGACGGCTCCAATGAAGGGAGCCGCGGCCAAGACAGCCAGGGTAGAGAGGGCGACGACGTTGACCATCTTGAAGAATTGAGCGGGCTCTGAGCTTGAGTCTCGAGAGGATGAGTGCCAGTGCTGAGGGTAGAAATCTAGACATTGGGAATTGCTTTGATCTTTTATAGCCAATTGTGACAGCAGACGGATTTCTTTTCGGTGAAGCCTTTCTTTTGGGACAAGTCTCAAGACGGGTCTCGGCAGAGCTGCATGCTTTACCAAAGTCCTTTTCAAAAGCCTCAACCGATATATATTCTCCACAAAGCTTGAAGTAAGGTTACATGTAAGCTCACTAAACACAGGGGTCTCGGTCATGTCGGCTCAGCCTTGTAGGTGAACTGCACGACTATTCTTCGCGATGGCCTATCGCAACAAGTCTCGACCATTCGGTCGAGGATGACCAGGCCTTCCAGACAACAACGGCGTTATGTGAGCCTCACCATCAGCGGATAGGTGCGCACAGGCTTGGGTGCACAATTTGCTTCTTCGAATGCGTGGAAGATTCGAGATCACGTCGTCACAAGTTCTCCCAGACAATGATGGAGTTGTTACCATACGAGGATGTCGAGGCAACAATCCACTTCAGGATATATCTTCAGTATAGCCTTCTAGCCCCATGAACGTCCGAATGACAGTGTCTATTCTGTTCCTTCTGAGCTTAGTCTGGGTGAATAATGTTAGATGTTAAGTGTCGTAGAGAAGAATAGGAAGGTCGCAGAAAGAAACGTAGCAGGGCAGAAGCTTGAGTCCACTGAGCTTCCGGGAATACTAACCGAAAAAGATCACCATGCGGTCGGCGAACTGTCATATGCAGGAAAAGCGGGCCTGGATATATGGAACTTAGAGGAACGACCCATGAATGATACTAATTATCATGAACCAAAGTCCCTATCTAAAAGCTAGACGATGTGACCTCCAGTAATTGGGTCTTAAGCGTGTTACTTCGCGGATTCATGAAAGACTTGGTCGGTGCTCTCCTGCGGGCCGTAAGACTGGGTCACATTGTGGAAAATGGAGCATCGGGCGGTCGGGCGGCCGCCTCCAATGCCTCAATTTTTAGTCCAGTTTGGAAAGTGATGCTGACGCTTTTCAAGGTCGCGATACTAAGCAGAATGGGGCTGTTGCGAAGAATGTGAGAGAAGAGGCTGCCTAATTCTTCGCGTATCGGAAAGCCACGAGTTGTGGAGTGCGACTCCGTTCGCTCACAGCTTATAACGAGATATCAGACGACGAGAGAGCGGGGCCAAAGATTTTGTGAGAGTTTTCAGGCGGTGTAACCGATCAAATGGGACTTTCGAGAACCGGTGGCCGGGCCTTTGAGTCTAGACTCTAAGACTCATCACTTCTCAGAGATGCCTTAAGAATGTTTGCGAAGTTTCGCTTGTGATGGTATTAATCGCTGGTGATGAATTTTGATCTACTCACTTCCCTCCTTGGAAGCAATCGCAGACTTGATGTGCAGCTCAAAATCCCCATCCTGCTCAGCAAAGAAGCTATGACAACGTTAGCCCCAACCCACACGTTCTCAATAAACAAACCTCACTAACCTTCGAATCATGAAGTTGACCCTCTTAATGCTCGTCAAATTCAGCGGCGCAGTATCATTCTGAACCCGTCCGCGGAAAGTAGGCACAAACGCGCTAAACGGCATCACCACCTTCTCGACCGCGCCGTCCGTGTGATTCACCGCCGGGATCTGGAAGTCAAACTCCCAGCTGACGCCAGACTGCTCCACGCCATTCACGGGCGGCGGCACCGTATCCTTCAGATTGAACGTGTACTTCTTGCCGTCCGTGAACGGGATCTCGAGGGTAATGGTGTCGTACGCCGAGATGTCGAGGCTCGGCCAGTCGTCGACGGTGCGCTGGGACGCGAAGCCCGCGCCGCCGAGCGTCGCGTAGTCGAGGTTGCCGTGGAAGTTTGCAATTGACTGCGCGAACGGGTTGCCGGCCGCGCCGGCTGCGATGATGTCGAGGGTGGAATGACTCGCGCCGTTGCGGACCGTGTCGTCGGAGGCGATCCATTGGCTCTTGTCCCAGGGCGTGAAGAGGGCCGCGGAGGCCAGGGCGCGGAAAGCGACGGGGATGTGCATGGCTGCTGGCGGGTGAACGGGTGAGATGGATGGCTGGTGTGAGGAAACAAGTGACAAAGGTTGGATCAGCAGCGGGATCGCGGGATGGTGTATGAATACCAAATGGCTGGGCACGTCGCTTATTTAACGCTGGATTGTCGTCACTGTCCGTGTCCGCTTGTCATGTTTATTAAACTTCGGTTGCCAAGATTCACGCTCCTTTCTTGCGTGCCCCTCGAAGCAATCAAGGGTTCCGGAGCAGTCCATCGTGGGTTCATTTACGTGGTAAACTCTATTCTCGTTGTCAAATCCTAGGCTAGCGGTTCACCCGAATTGTGGAGAGTGTGCAGCAACGAAATGTCATGGATCTGGGATCTTCGCTTTCGTTACGGTTGTCAATAAGACAAACACAGCCGCCAAGCGCGCGCCGGTAGTGCCGAGGAAGTCTGGGCATGTCGATTGAGCCCCCTTTAAAACCCCTATTGATGGCGCGTTTAAGACATCCGCCTGCCAATTGATCCAGCCCTAACCGGTGATATCAGAGGCATTCTTCGGAAGATGAGACGATATTGGCGGGCGGGGAATTGATGTGCAGAAGCCAGAGCAAGTTTCTTGTCAGTGAATGCCAAAAAGCCCGTTCCTCAATGTCTTGGCCCATGACAAGTCATGCCACCGTCATCAGTCACATATTGCGAATGGACATCAACGGTTGTAACATGATGTTATGCTATTTGCTGTTCTTTTCCTATCGTACAATACCCAGGCCATGACGTCGAACCGTTCAACCTCCGGATCCTCCTGGATCAGCCTGAATGAATGAAAGTCGTTCCTCATACCAAATCGTGATGAAAGTGAGAGCCTCCAGCTCATTCCAAAGAAAACACAAAACTTTTGATTGTCCCGAACCTGGTAAAACAAAACCTTGAAACCACAAAATTGCTCATCGCACCTCATGTTAGTACTCATGTTTGGAGCTTCTAGCATGAAAAGGCTGGGATGAGAACCGAAGATGGCGAGATCTTCGCCCACGACGTACTTAGACTAGATCACCCTTCAAGAATTATCCTGAGTCTTGTGGGCGCGACGTTCTTTACGGCCATGAGTCTTGGTACGCCCGCCGCCACGACCTTGAGCGTGACGCTGAGCAGGGTTCTGAGCAGTATCTTGGGCATGATCATGAGCATGAACATGACCGCGGTTCTTGCCACGGCCACGGCCACGGCCCTGGCCCTGACCTTCAAGGTAAACCTGATCACGGTCCTGGATGTGGTTCTGAGCGTGACCCTGAGCACCGCCGTTGCCTCGACCGCTACCACGACCGCCACCACGACCGCGGCCATTAGTCTGACCACGTCCGCCGCCCTGAGCTCGACCAACACCACCGGCATGGCTGTGAGTATTCTCGCTGGTAGCATCAGCGACATCGTCACCGCGCTGGGCCTGGACACGCTTCGGCTGACGGTTGCCAGCCTTATGATTGCGTTGAATCTTAACCATGTTATCGCGATCACGGCCTCCTCCGCCCAAGCCACTTCCAGCATGATTGGCCTTGTTCTTGCCCTGCTTCTTAGAAGTAGCACGCTGTCCGAGGTCGTTCTGACCAGTGACCGGGTGAATCTTGGCGCCGGGGATGAAGGTGCGGTACTGAGTGGTGTTCTTGTGCTGAACCTGCTCGACGATAGCGCGGAGACGGGCGAGGCGGGTGCGGTTGTCTTCATGCTCCTCAACGAAAGGGAACAGCTTGATGCGGTCAGCAATCGAGCACATGTTGTCGACGCGGCCGTTTCTGATGTCCTTCTGTTGCTTGGTTGAGTTCTCGAAGACGAGCTGATCGGTGATGAAAAGCTTCTTGGCGTGGTCAAATCTGACCCACTCGCGACCGATGATGATCTCCGACTCCGGATCCCAGACAATGTGGCGAGAGACATTCCACTCTGCAATGAACTTGGGGCTCATTATGTTCCAGAAATGCTGGACGAGGGATGGGGTGTGTCTGGTGAACCAGTAGAAGCTCTCCGAGATAGCATCTCTGATGAGGTGCTCATCATCGTGACCGGTAGAGAAGAGGTCGAAGGCAGCCATGTAGTCGAGCATGAAGTCGACGTGGTACTTCATGTTCCAGTCGGAATCCTCGTACTTGAGGGTGTTCCAGTTCTGCTTGGTACGGGCCAGCAAGGTCATAAACATGTGTCTGGCAATGCAGAGAAGCGAGCGGTGAAGGAAACGATCGCAGAGAATGCAGACCTGAGCCATGGTCTTGAGCTTGATTTTGGGGATCTCCAGGTGAGCTCGCTTGAAGGCCTCAGGGTCATTGGCGTTGACGAGATCATCGAATAGAGAGAAGGGAACGACCTTGCTACCGAAAGACTTTATCTCAAAGTACCAGCCGTGAGTGAGTTGAAGGTAGAGTTTGAGAGCCTTGGAATCAATGTCATCGAAGAAGATCTCCTGGTTGTAGGACTCCTTGAAGAAGCCGAGGAGACAAGCATCGAAGTACAAGGATCCAGCGGTGATGACCTCGCGGAAGACAACGAAGATGATGTCTCCACAGTAGACGTGGACGAACTCATCTTCGGAGCTATCACAGGTATGTCAGAAAGCGCGCAGGCATAGGATTGGGTCAACTTACATGTCAAGGATCTTTTTGCTGTCGCCAGCCGCAACAGCTTTCTTGTTGTGATCCTCGACCATCGCGCGCGAGGTAATGCGGTAGTCGATGACCTTCTCCATTGCGAGCGATAGTTCGAGCGTCTGAACTGTAGTTTGGTGTGAACTAGCTAATTCGGGTATGTAGAGAGATGGCAACCACGGCGCGGATCGGCAGTAGAGATCCGACTCCACAGTAGATGATGCTGAGAAGAGGAAGCAGAGGGAATATTGTGTTGAAACGGGTTGTTTCGTGGGATTTCCCTCTACCCTAGGGTGTTGTTTGTGGGAGATGAAAAGAGAAGAAGGTGGATGTTGACGAAACAAGAGTGAGTACCTGCCTTACAATGCTGTGTTGAAAGACAACAAGCGACGTAGGCAAGGTCAGAAGCCCTACAAAGGGAAAGAGGTCCAAAAAGAGCGTCGAGGGCGTGGATAAGTGAATTTTTTTGATCTTTTCCCTATTCAAGGCACAAGGCGTGGGAGGTGTGAAGTCATAATTACCCATGGAAAGTGGTCGGATAGGGTGCCGTAGCCTTCCGGGTTGGCCCCACTTGTCGCCGAAGTGATCTCCGGTAGGCTCCGGACACTCTCAGGAACCGCCTTTGTGTAGTCCTGAATGAAAAGAAGAATGCAACGGACTGGAAACTATTGAATCACTGACGATCCTTGAGACAAAAGAAAACACTGCAACACTTCTGAGAGAAAGAGCATAGCTTCAATAAGCCGCTTGCTCCCTGCTGCCTGGGTTGCTGCTTCCTGTAAAACACTCAGGGTCTTACGAGCTGGAGATGTAGAAAATCGCTCAATATTCAACTTAGGAGACGTAACACTGGCAGACTGCATCGGGATTCTGCCAGGAATCAAATGACCCAATATGTGTAGCTCTGCCGATTCATTACCTAGGTCAGATCATTGTCAGTTGAGTAGACTAAAAGACGACTGCTTTGCTTGTTGAGGGTCCGAAAGTGCACTGTCCGCCCGCCAAAAATTTGAATGAGATACAAGAAACCACCCTCCGAAGCAGTTATGGAACTCGGCAGACAGCGCTAGTTCTTCATTGCGATCCTAAGGGTCTTTCCCTATGCTTCTTTCTTTTCTTTGACTTGTTCTACGAGAGCAGGCAGGAATCAAAACGTTGCTCGGGGTACGTACCCGAAGGGAGCCGATTTCACAGTGTGTACATCTCGACCATCGTCACTTCACACAGTGAGGGGAGCACGACCCCTCCACATCCTTCCCAGTGCTTGCCTCGATGAAATGGAAGAACAATCACGAAGCGGGGCTATCTCTGCATGTCACTCAACTTATGAAGCCGCGACCGCCCAGTAGCAGACTACCTCTCCTTCTTGGGACTGCTTCCGCGTTGACCCTTTGGAAGCCAGGTAGCTCTGTGGACTAGCTGTTGAGTCAGCCGCCTCCGATTGAGTCATCCAAGTCCAAGCACCGTCATTTCCAGTCGCCCAAGTTGCTCGCTGTCTAAAGCATTGGCATCCCCAAGTTATATCAACGCAACTCTGTTCGAGCTTCTTATGGAGTATCGTTCAAGGGTTCCAACACCTTAGCCATCCTGTTGTGGTTGTTTTCTGATACTACTTCTCGCGCTCATTGCCCAAAGTTCACCTACAAACAGCGACGCTAGCCAAGGTGTGAGTATCGCACCTTTCGCCATGAATGGAGGCTAAGTAGTGCAGACTAGATCAAACTTTCTCTGGCCATCTGGCCCGCCATTATCGCAATGGGAGGCTCTGCCTTCGCATCTGGGGATGATCCTCTAGACACCCCACGAATGCCCGCCACAGTGTACAAACGAGCCAAGACCGGATGTTTCGATGCATTGCGGGAGCTGTACCTCTGTGTGGCTAGCCCTATCGAAGGACCCGAGAAGCAAGACTATGGAGACATCGACATCCTAGTCGCCTGGGAGAGAGCACCTTTCGTTGGGAATTGCGGTGAGAAGGGAGCACCAAAGCCAACTCCTAGACGACAAGAAGAACGGGAAGATGACGAAGCGTGGTTCGAGATGGCCAACGACTGTGGCGAGGGACAGGAAAGAACACCGGGCCATTCAATCATGTCTAAAGACGAGGCACGCAAGGCCATCTTTGCCGCCCTCGGTGCCAAGCGCTCCATCTACAATTCCGGAGGCGACAACTATGCCATCCCATGGCCGGTGACAGATAAGGAGATGGATGCAGATGAACCGAAGCGGTTTATCCAAGTCGACATAACCATCTGCAGTTCACTTCAGCAACTACAATGGATTCTATTCAAGCACGCCCACGGCGATCTTTGGATCATCATGCAGACCATTCTTCAACCACGCGGGTTGACTGTAGACGACTACTCCATGTCACTACGAAACAACGATATTGAAAGATACGAGAGATACAGCAAGAAGTGGCCCAAGGTGCATGTCTCGAGGGACCCTGCCGAGGTACTCGTATTTTTGGGCCTCAATGTGGAAAGGTTCTCGGAGCCCTTCGCGACTCGAGACGAGATGTACGAGTACATTGCATCTTGTCGGTTCTTTTGCATCGAGACCAATTACGGCCGGCACAACAACCCCGACCCAACGAACCCGGAAATGATCATGGAGGCCAAGGAGTCAGACGGCAAGGATAACAACAAGACAGACACTGGCACCGCGGGAGAGCCCGCGACGAAGAAGCTCAAGAGTAAGAACAAACAGCGCTTGATAAAACGGCCCGCCTTCCGCCAATATTTTGACGAGTTCCTCCCACGCTGCCGAGCAGAGGGACGGTACGCAGGACGACCCGATCTATACTATTGGGACGTTCACCAACAAGCTTTTGCGATTTGGGGCAACTTTCAGCCCATGATGTCACGCCAATGCATGCAGCTCATCATAAGCCTCGGGGAGGACAGGGTTCGGGCAAAGATCAAGGAAGTCTGCCAAAGATTGGTCCCCGGGACTGATGCTAAGGACGGCCAGTACCGCGGCTTGCTGAACAAGGCGTTTAAGAAGATCATCATTGACGGTGACCTATCATATGGTGTCAAGCCAGAGGAGAACGAGGAACTCAGGGATGGCATGGGCCAGATGATTAAGGACCAGCCCGAGAAGTTCATCCTCAAGCATCACGAGGAGGTTGGGAAGGCTGCTGTGGCTGAGCATGAGCGGAAGTTCCAGGAGCATAAGCGCTTGAAGGAGGAGCAGACCAAGAACATACTCTGAAGTCTGGTATGGATATGACTCTGTATTTTGAAGATACCACTAGCATGATTAGGGCCAGAGGCAGAAACTCTGCAATTGAAGCTATCCCCAACACCGCCTCTCTCACCTTTCCAAAGTCGTCTTTTCCCGTCTTGTCTTTCAACACAGTTCAAAGCTCTTCTACTATTCGTTAGCCCGAGTGCCTTGCTCCCGCCTCTGACAGTATGACAGTCTTCACATCGCCACGGCGATGTGATGCCACCCAAGACCACACACCCACCTCAGCCGCATCTTCACTCTGCCCTATGTCAAGCCGCAGTAGGGCAAAGGCGATCTGCTCTTGTTCAAGGCCCTAATGAGGCTATCGCAAGGGCCCCACGTCTGGAATATCCTTTCTACCTCCCTTGGTGAGATCCTTCATTTCTCTTTCTCTTCTTCTTCTTCTTTTTCTCTCTCTTTTCTTTCTTTCCTCACCTCCACCATCACTTCTTCTACTACCAGTAAGTTCTTCACACTTATATCACATTCGTCCACGAATACGAGCGAACGAACCGAAGAAGGGAAATACTAACCACTTATTTTACTCTACTCTAGACAACTATAACTATAAAGATGGCCTCCTCCTCCAAGAATCCCACCACCACCACCACCAAGACGGCCCCCATCGACATACCTGGGGCCGCGACGGACCGCAGCGCAGCTTTCAAGCGCGCAGAAGCGGCCCGTCGCGCCTCAGGTGGGGGCCAGGGCTCCGACGACGAGCCTTGGGGAGACAGCCTGGCTGGCCGAGAGCCCTAGGAAGGCCCTCGCCGCTGGACTGTCTCCCACCCCGGAGGATTCTCCGCGGCAGAGATGAGCGCCCAGGCGACTCGGTCGCGCCGAGGAATCGGCACCGATCCCTCTTGGATCGTGAGTATTTGCACCCCCCCTTCTCGCCAGCCTCTCTTTGGCAAAGGGTATACCAACACATATATAACCAGGACCCCGCCGGCCGCCTCCGCCAGCTGCCCTACGGCACCCGTCTGCCCTCCCCTGTCCCCCTCACCGAAGAGGAGATCGACCGCGCCCGCAACTCCGGAGCAGGACCCCTCATCCCTTACCCGCGCCGCTCGCCCTCACCCGGTTCTCGTCCCGTTTTCGGACCGATCACCTACCGAGAGCATCTTCGGATCGCCTTGGCTCATCACAACACGTACAGCGTGTTCGCAGGCTTCCCTGCCGACATTGGCGTCTATGAGCCACCCCGGTAGATCCAGTCACGAGTCGCGAACCACAGCTTTCTTTCCCAGAGGGGGGATTGCTGGTTTCTCGGTGGTTTGGTACATACCTCATCAGACTGATACCACGACGCGAAGCCATTGATGATTATGACTGTGGTCTGCTTTCGAGGACAAGGTTTTGCCAATTTCGGTCTTCCTGTGGTCTGCGATGGGACTCTTCGGATGGTTACGACAGTGGTTTTCCGGAGGCTGGTTGATTTATTGGGATCGATCACATCACAACGGACGGCACTATGACGACTGATGGAGCGAGACCATGCTCCGTTACCTACGGCAGCACGTATCCGGTCTCCCTACACCCGTCAACCTTTCACGTCCATCTTCTCTTCGTTTGCATTCAGGACTTTTCGGCTTTTTTTTTTGATTCATGGGATACTCGGTTCGGAAGGCTTAACTGGAACTTTGGAGTTCGAGAACTGGTCATATCACAACAGACGTCTGGCAAACGACTGATGGGAAAGATCACACCATCGCCATACCTCTACATACGGCACCGCTATCAGGACGTCACTCACCATTCGACCTTTCACGTCCGTCTTCTTTTCATTTGCATTTAGGACTTTCTCCACGTACTCAGCTTTTTCAGATGGTTCATGGGATTTCGTTACAGGAAGAAGGCTTGAGTGGAACTTTGGGAATGGGAATCGGTCACATCATAACGGACGTCTGGTAAACGACTGATAGGAACGATCATGCCCTCATTATACCCCTAAACACGGCACCGCTAGTACGACTTCACATACACCCGTCGACATCTCGCGTCTGTTTTCCCCCCTCTTTCGACTTCATCACTTCGACACGGAAAGCCCGAGGAGGAAAAGTTATGCAATGGGCTCTCGGTTTTACATGACCCTCGACACCTCACGTCTCTTACGACTCGGACAGCATACCGCGTTTGGGCAGGGAGGGCAAGGGAAAGGGTACTAGGACCTAACATACCCCACGTTTGTTTCCGTTTTCGTTTTCAAGGGAAGAAAAACCAGGACTCTTCACAATACATAGATGGCTTTAAAGGCTTTCATCGAGAAGACGTTACCTGGGCACACTTACTTCTCCGTAGCGCGTGGTGCCATGTTGTTCTGCCTAGTCGTGATTCTGTACTCTTCGTCCCTTCTTGCAATCAGCGGAGTAAGATCCGGAGAAACGTGATGCCACTAGACGCCCCTATCTCTAAGGGACTGTAGTCCTTATATCTCGGCGAGCCTCGCTTTGCGGTACCGCCCAGATGGTGATGCTTTTGAATCGGTCTGTAGTCCCACCTGGCAAAGCCCAGCCCGGCCTCGGCCTTCCGCTTGGCTTCTCTTGCCGCGCCATCAAGAACACCAAGACACAATTCTTCCAACCCCCTTGGAAAACGGCTTGCAAAAGCAAAACGCTGCAAAGCTAGACCAAGCAAAGGGCAGCCCCCGATGCCACGTTCCCGCAGCGACCACAAGATCCCCAAGGAGCTATCGGGTTTCTAAACTCAAATCACACGATCCTCGTAGAATTTCTCCCACGCCAGTCATCAAACATCCAGCCACACATCACTCTGTGCGACGCTGGCATGTGGTGTCTCAAACATCTGGCTTACCTAGCTCACCTAGCCCACACCCTCAGCCCTAGGAAAAGGAAGTGAGTTAACTGTGGATGGATCCTGCGCACAGGTTCCCGCACATCGTTTCCGACGGAAGGACGCCATCACTGATCAGTGGTCCCCCATCGACCATCGCCGTCGCGAAGATGGGTCGGGGACGACAAATCCACCACATCGCAACAAGACGAGTCCCGGTCTTCGCCTCGTCCATCAACCATGAAGCCGTTCGCCCGGCTAGCTCAATCGGTAGAGCGTGAGACTCTTAATCTCAAGGTTGTGGGTTCGACCCGTAAGTGCTTGCAAGCTCTCATCGAGGCATGAGCTTCGCAGCTAACACATTCCAGCCACGTCGGGCTCAATTCCCGTCAGCGATTGACATCAAATTCTTTTTTGCCCATCGGCTCTCGGCCTGCTTTTTCGTCAATGTTTGTGTGCCCCACTGGGGACCAGCATTGTCGGCCAGGAGTTGAATAATAACCGAGCCTAGAATAGGCGTCTAGGAAGCTATGGCAGTCGCTGAACGTTCGACGGTCGGTACTCATTGGGATTGATGAGTTGGAAGGAAGTTTGCGATTGTCGGCGAAATGAACTTAAGAGAGCAATATCCATCTCCCGGTCAAGTATGGGTTGCGAATGTGTCTATCTGGAAATGTGGTGTTGGCCTGCAAATGTCAAACAACGTTGAATTTCTGCCTCGGCAACTAGGTCTCGGTGGCTAGCTACATTGACACAGAAAATTGAATGCCCAGTTTAGGAGAATCCAGATTGGGCTCATCAAACCCCAACATGTCGCTGGAGATGGGGCGCTAGTAAGCAAAGGTGCAGCAGGATGCCCATGCAATCCTGCCAGGGGTAATGCGAGATATTGCTTTTCATACCACCAAGAGATCACAAGCGGTGAGACAGCTCAGATCCAATACCCGGGATGGACGGTCGAGAGATGGGTGGCCAGGCCAGGTCTACCGTCCAACGACTACAAAAAGCATGGCGTCGAGAAACCGCCCGACAAGTTGGTTGCCAGTGCCAGCCACAACGTTTTTGCAACGCGGACGGTTGTTCTGGTGAAGGTTGATATTTGGGGGCCGGGACGTGCTGTCAGCGGGATGGCGGAAGCTATCCGGACGCCAGGCTCAAGCTCCGAAGCACTACGGAATGGTGAGCTCCAACAGCGCGGTACGTACCGTGTGTAAGCATCATGGAGACGATTGGCTGATGGTGGGAAGTGCGCAGTAATTTACCATTCATAGACTCATTTTACATAGTTCACCTTAGCCTGACAAGCGGTGCTAGCGGTCTCGAACCAGTCAAACAAAGTTGCCAACGGTAACACTGGCTGGTTGGTGATCTGAGGTGCATTCCTGATCAGTTGAGGACCTTGAGGCTTGAGGTAGGTATTCCGTCGATGGGGAGTGACAGGCAGTGCCTTGCATATCAACAGGGGGCAGTGGGTCGTGCGCTCAGCGAGCACCGGGGATCCGAGCCGCTCTGCCCCCTGTGCTGTGGCTTTCGATATTGATTACCGACTAGAATCGTGATAGGTTGTTGTCAACACCGAGCTGAGGCGCTACGGCTCTTTCAGGCCTCCGGATAGCCTCTACATCAAAGGTCGGTAAAAGTTTGGCTTGCATTGCTTGGATAGAAATCAGCGGATGACTTGGTGATGGTGCCACCTGCAAGAAAGCATCCGTAGGCAGGCAGAAATGAGGCACCTGCGAGACGTGACCAAATTTGCTGATGCATCTGGATAATGTGCCCCTGGGGAGTGCTGCCATGTCACCGAGACAGGATTCCCAATAGCAGGAGATGCTCACGAGAGCAAGGCTTTGTGCCGGGGACTTAACTATCTGTACATAGTACCTTGGCCGTGTGCATGCTGCATATGCAGGCTGCACGCACGTCTGGGAGAACCTGGGGATCTTGGTAATCCAGGATTCGGGATTCCCACACCAATCGTCGTTTGGGGTCCTCCGGTGTGATGGTGCACAAGAACATGCAAGGTCTCTATTACGGTTTGCTGAACGCAGAACGACGCATCCATCTCGTCACCAAGTTCGGAACAACCACACTCACTCAAGCAGCGTCGGCCGAGCCGTAGCCTTGTGAGTCAGATGAGATATCGCATTGCATGGAAGGAGAAGCAACTTGTATTCTCGTGACTCTCGTGTGAAAGCCAATGGGCATGGTGACGGATGCCACATCCATCCGTTTGACTGGGAATGCCGTCGGCCAGAGCGAAGTCCGCTGCGTAGCCGGTGGAAAAGCAGACATAACTGGATGGCGACTTTGCCGGAGTTCCTTGCGCCCCATGGCTGTGAATACGATGGCCAGCGATTCGGCGAGCGCCATTGACTGTCAGATACGAAGCGCTCTTGTCAGGACTGGAGCCTTCAGGGCTCGCCGTCGCCTCTTGCTTATGAATCCAGGCAACCCGTCCGGTGAGTGAAGATGATGAATTAGGAATGCGGCTTGTGCAACAAATGTGCATGATATTGGTGGGAGCCTCTCCAGGCATCATGGGCCGAGGCAGGCGGAGCAGTCGACATGGTTTAAAGATCCGCAACTCCCGTCCGCAAGAAATGATGCTGAGTTGGGGCCCATTTCCTTCGAAATCCCCACGGATCCGCGAATACGCTCGCGCCATCATTCGACGCTGGCTTGCACGAGTGAAGCCGTTTCCAGCGCACTACACCGGTCTCATTGTTGCTTGGGGCATCACCTGGCCGGCGTTGAGAAACAGACAGACAGGTCGTGACAGGGTGCGTAGGTTGGACAAGCAAACCAGCCGGTTCGTTGGCCTAGGCATCTGGAGCTTGGTGTATCCACCCCTTTCTTGCGTCTCATTCCAGGTGTTTGCAACATCTGGAACCTTGATGGGCATCTGAGTCAAGGCAGAAACCTCAACAGTTGATCTAAATATCTACTATCGAGCTGGTCGCACGCGAGGCAAAGCGTCTGTGTTCATTCGTTACCTGTTCTCTTTCATTCATTAGACATTGGACAGCATCAAGCCAAACGACATCAGCGACAAACCCATCATCAGCCAGTGAAACAAACATCAACCGGGAGGCTACAGCGATATCGACAGCGTGTAATTGATTGCCGGGTATCTCGCCTGCCACGGACACACGGTGACCGGGGTCTGAGAAGCGTAGCACCGCGCTTGGGTAACACGAACTTCTGCCCTCGAGACCTTCGTTCTCTTATTGTTTCCGTCACTTCTGTGCTTCGTCTTCAGCCAGCGAAAGCTCTACCACCTTCGGCATTCGACTGAATACAGAAGGGTCACAATCCTATATCGCAGCGTACTCGAGCTCGATTGCATAGCTGCCCAAGACCGTTCTTCGTTGTTCTTGGGGGCGGCTTGTCAAACGGCACAGAGTGAGACGACCAGAGAAGCCTGTGGACAAGACCGTCCGGAGTTCCAGCATAAATTGCCTTAAGTTTGAGGCAACGCAAAATAGACGACAAGAAAGAGGCGAATTGAGACGAGGGAGCGAGACTCAAGGAGAAGTTCCTGCAGAATTGGAGACGCGTCGTCCCTGTCCCTGTCATCCCGGGTTTGGGAGTGTCGTGTCCAGTTTGGTGTTACACGAAAGACTCTGCTCGATTTTCGGCTCCGGCCGCCACACAAGCATCTTGCAAGCTCTCAGCAAGCAACAGCGGCACTGGCAGTGTCAGCAACAGGAACAGCACCTCAGCACCCAGCTCCGACTGTTACCTTAGCTTACTGAGCACCAACGCACGGCGAGCAGCAAATAAACTACGGGAGAGACCTGAGTGTGTTGCTTGGAGATTTGCATCACGCATTTGCCCATTTCCCCCGCCAATTCCCCCCACGCCTGCGCGACTTGGCTGGGCCATTACATCTCGGGAGAGAATTTTCGAGGTACCTACCTGCCTTGCCTGTACAGGTTTCAGGGAGAGGAAGGAGCCGACTGGCTGACGTACAACGACTCTGTGCCTGCCCCTTCAAGTTTCCACAGATACGCTTCCCAGTTCCTGCCCTTTCTGCAAGGTACCTCGACTACACGTTACCTTCCTTTTACCAACAGACCGAAGGTGTAGAGGAAGGTGTGCACCAGACTGCTGAGCCCAAGGCTGTTTCCCTCTTCTGCGAAAGTACCTACCTTGCCTTCTTACCTTCAAACTTCCCGGAGCCCTTCCTCACCAAAACGGTGAACCGAAAAAGGGAAAGAGACGATCTGGTACCTGAACCCTGCAGTTGCCAGCCAGTTCCTCCCTCTTTCTGAGACGTTCTCGCCCCAGCTGGAGCAGTTGATTCACGTTCCCTCCGCTTAGACGACAGTGCTCAGCTGCCTTGCATCAACTCGACGCACCCGGCACGCATCTACATTCTCTCACACCAACAGAAGGAACCTGGCACACCTGCACGCCTGGAACTGCAAAGAACAAGAAGAAGGCTCAATCATAGGTATTGCACTTGCACTTTCTTGATCCTAGGTTCCCATAAGGCAAGGGACCTTACCTTACCTTGGTCCACCCCCTTTCTCTTTATCCTGCCGTCCTGTACTTTACGGATAGTCCTACGGTCTTTCCCCTTTCCCACCGAACCTGGCTGGGATCGGGTACCTGCTCCTTCCCAAGCACCTGCAGCAAACACGTCCCCGGAACGCGGTGGTGACTCTTTAATATCGACATTCGGCACCTACCTCACTTCTTCAAGCTTTCTCCTTTCCACCGTTACCTTTTGAACTGTCTTTCTAGAGACGAAAAAAAGGCAATCTAGATCTTGCTTCGACTTGCATCATTCGGTCTCCTGCCGGCTTGCATCATCCATCCTACCTCTCCATCGCCAACTTAACTTTAGACTTCACCTGGAAGCAACCATCGAAACGCACTCCTGCCCGCACGGGTCCACCCTACGCACGACGACGCACTCCTCTTCCATCGTCACCCCTGTTTCCTGAGCTCACTTCCTCCTGCAAGCAGCAAGCTCTTCGCTGGATAGAAAACTAAAACTTTGGGAAGGAAACGAAACAGGACTCCGTCTGGCAGGCAGCCCTTGCCGTCTTCCCCGTCTTGCACCATCCCTGTTGAGGCACGCTCCCCAGAGGTCTGGACATCAGATCACCCACAGCTCCTCCATCCATCCATCCCTGGCCAAAGCTCCCCTGGTATCCCTCTCATCATACACCCGTCACTTGTCTCTCCCCCCAGCATCTCGCAATCTCTTCAACTTTCATTTGTCGGGAACACCAGCTAGCCGCCTCTCGATTTTTGGTGAATCCATCAACTACCTAATCCGTCCACCCCCTCAAGCTCTCTCTAGTCGGTATTCGGTCGTCCTGCGGATCTACGGCTGCTCCACACGTCCTCAACACCATCTGCCGCAATGGCGTCCCTCGAAGAGCTTCTCGATAGCCTCCACTACCTCTATCCGGCATTGGCCTTCACCTATTTTGCAATTGCTTCTGCTGTTGCTGTGTGCACTCTTCAGACTTTGCGGGCAGCCAATAACCCAGGCAAAGAGTTCATCCCTCGGTCATGGATCCTCAACCTTATCGTTGCCTTTGTCCTTACCTACGTCGCCCAGATTGCCGTCATTGCCATTCAGTCCATCATCCTTCAAGAATGGATTGGTCAGGAGCATGAGGTTATTGGCTTGCTGTCCTGCATTCTTGTCTTTGGTACTCAATTGGCCTTCCTTTCCGACACAGAACACCCTGTGTGGACACCGTACTGGGGCTCGTGGCTCATTTCCTTGGTTTTCGAGCCCATGATTGGAGTGCCAGATCTCATTATCAGACGCTCCAGCACTTTCGAGCACTGCCGCATCGCTCACCTTGTCTTTGCTGGTCTTCGCTACTATCTACTTCTTACCATTGTCTCCATCTACGTTGTTCAGCGTATCCGAGCTAGCCAGGAAGAATCGACAGACGAAGAACGGCAGTCTCTTCTCGGCCAAGATGACCCAAAGTCGCGATTGAGCAGCTCAGGAAACGGGAGCCAGAGCTCTACTTCTACGTACGGAACGACAAGTGATCCACCAGAGTCGTACTGGGCAGAACGCCAGCGAAAGGCACAGGAGGAGATGGAGAAGCGCCTTCAGGAAGAGGGTAACTGGCTAACGTACATTAAGGGTTTCGGCGTAAGTTTTGGATTCTTCTCGTCCCTTCAACCACCCCTGATATACGGAACTTGCCTGACACCAGTCTAGATTTTGTTCCCCTATATCTGGCCTGTCGGACAGAAATCCCTGCAGTTACGCCTTGTCCTTGTTGGACTCTGTCTGCTCGCCGGCAACGCTCTCAACCTCTTGATCCCGCGTCAATTCGGTATCATCGTCGATGAGCTCAAGGACAAGAACTTCAGCAGCGCTTGGTACGGAGTTGCGATCTACGGTCTGCTCAGAATCGCTGCTTCTGACGCTGGTATTGAGTTTCTGCGAGAATGGCTCTACCTGCCTCTTGAGGTATACGCCGATGGGGCTCTGAGCACAGCAGCTTACCGACACATTTTGAACCTCTCAGCCGACTTCCACGATTCGAAGAGCACATCTGACATCAGCCTGGCCATGTATGGCGGGTCAAGTGTTTCCGATCTCCTGGAGTCTATCTGTTTTCAAGCTCTTCCCATGCTGATCGACCTGGTTGTTGCCATTGTTTACCTCTCGGTTATCTTGGGGCCTTATGAAGGTCTCATCACCCTGGCGACCAGCACACTTTTCTTGTTCATCGCTACGAAGATGATTGCTGTGATGAAGGAACGCAGACGGGCCCACGTGAACGCCCAGTACGCCGAGCACTACGTACGCCAGACTGGAATCACGGGTTGGCATACGGTCGCATCCTTCAATCAGACGACATATGAAGATGTGCGCTACTCTAACGCAATTCACACCCGCATCAACTGGACTAAGCGTGTACGTCTCGGGTGGTTTACTGCGCAAGCATTCCAGTCTTTGGTTCTTCTCTGTGGTCTGTTGGCCGGCGCGATTCTGGCTGTGTACAGGATCAAAAATAGCAAGGCCACCCCTGGTGACTTGACAATGCTCCTGATGTACTGGGCTCAACTCACGTCTCCACTGCGGTTCATGGCCAGCCTCGGGAAGAAGATTGGAAGCGATTTGATTGATGCCGAGCGACTGTTGGACATCATGAAGAAGGAGCCAACAATCGTGAACAAGAAGGGGGCCCGTCCCTTGAAGCTTATTGGTGGCAACGTCGATTTCAACGATGTGAGCTTCACCTATGATTCCAAGAAGAAGATCATCAACCGCATCTCTCTTTCTGTTCCCGGAGGCCAGACGGTGGCCTTTGTTGGTGCTACTGGTGCCGGCAAGTCCACCATGTTGAAGCTACTCAACCGTTTCTACGACGCCAGCGAGGGATCCATCTTGATTGATGGGCAGGATGTGCGTGACGTTGACTTGCACAGCCTCCGTGACCGCATTGGCTTGGTGCCCCAGAATCCTGTGCTCTTCGACGACACGATCATTAGCAACATTCGGTATGCGAGAATCACCGCTTCTGACGATGAGGTCTTTGAAGCTTGCAAGGCTGCTTGCATTCATGATAAGATCATGACTTTCACCGATGCATACAACACGCGAGTTGGGGAGAGGGGAATGTGAGTAATCCCAGTGTCTGCGAACAGACTAGTAGCTGACCAAAACCAGCAAACTTTCCGGCGGCGAGCTGCAGCGTGTTGCTATTGCCCGGGCAATCCTCAAGCAGCCCGAGATTGTGCTTCTGGACGAAGCGACAAGTTCAGTGGACACCGACACAGAGCAGAAGATCCAGCAGTCATTCATGCAGCTCTGCAAGGGACGAACCACATTCATTGTCGCGTATGTATTCCGTTTTCTTATGCCTCTATTGTTCACATCCTTGCCACAGTGCCACTGAGCTACCGGGTCCATGTGCTAACCAGACACAGTCATCGACTTTCAACCATTATGAACGCCGATCGCATTGTTGTCATCGAGGATGGTGAGGTTGTCGAGCAGGGCAATCATGCCGACCTCGTTACCGCTCAGGGAAGGTACGCAGACCTATGGTCTAAGCAAACCTTCCTGAAGCCCAAGGATGACGATTCCGCCATCAACAAGAAGTCGTCTGCAAGTGACACCGACGAGTCCACGCTCGATGGCACATCGGAGATAGATGCTTCTGCGTCTGAGGACACCCACACGACACCGACTCAGGCGAGCAAGGGAAACGAGGCTGTTCAGACTCCCGGTAATCACAAGAAAGAGGTAGAGTCAGCTGAAGATTCGTCTTTGGCAGATTCTAACCACTAATTGTGTAGGGATCTCGATTGAACCCCGTTGCACCCGAATTCACGCCCAAGTCGACCCCCATCACCAAAATTTCTTTTCCATCCCCCACTCGCCAGCCCATCACAAATTCCGCGAAGCCACATGTCTCGCCCATTCGACAGACTCCCAAGCGGGTTTTGAATTGGGCGAGCGCGACTTCTTCGGATGACGATTCCTCCCCACGATCCACCGTTGACACCACGACCATTTCTGCCGGCAGCCGCGCTCAAGTAAGCTTTCTTTCTGGTAAGCTTCCCTTCATAGTGTATGATAGCTCCGAGAAAAAAGTTTCTGACCGCGATATGGCGTTAGGTGCTCGACACGACAGTAGAGTACAAGACTCTGACAACGACTCGGTGGACACTGTCATCAAGCTTGAGCCTCCCCTATTCAGAACCCCTCACCCTACTGCCCGTCGCTACAACGCCATGAGCGATTCCAATGGACAAGCTTGTGGCGATACTGATGCGATGGACCAAAGTGGCGATGATGCTGATGGAGTCATTGCTGTAAGATCCTCACAGCAATCCATAGCCGAGCGAGAAACTAATCGGCTGCAGGAGGTACGCCATGTATCTGCACCGGTCTTGAAGTTGAAGACCGTCACACCGGGCCAGGAGACTCGTGCTTCCCCAATGACCATCATCGTATCCAAAGACTTGATCAACGACAAGCTGCCGACACCCGGCTTGACTAGCACTCCTGTCTGTCGCCACAAGGAGAATGTGCCTGAGGGATCTCACGGTCCGGTTACAACCAAATCAACGACGTCATCATCTCCTCTCAAGGAGGTCACGCAGTCTAACTCAGCTGCATCCTCGCTCGCTCGAGATTCTCAGCAGCCCAACAACAATCGTGGTCAGAGAAAGCGATACAACCGAGGCGGAGGCCGTGGGCGTGGTCGCCATGGCCATGGGAAACCCCCCGATCAGGGCGCTCATCATTAGCTTTCAACAGCTTCTCAATGAGTGATGCGCCGCACATTATCAGTTTTCTTTTGTTCGAGTTGGCACTGGTCCAATGTACTATTCTTGGCCCAACAAACAGCTTGTTGGGTGCCGCTTTCTACGGTATTGTTTAGAGAATGGCGTCAGCGCAAGCTGGCTTGTCTAAAAAGACACAGAGGGGGCTACATTTCATATCATGAGAGTATTGTGTTACGCATCAAAAGGGACCCAAAATTGGCGAAGGACAAGCTTCATTAGAATTGGTGGGCAAAAGCTTTAGAACAGACTGGGGGATACTTAAGCTTAGATTAGACTGGATGTATGGATAAGAAGGGTCGATAGCTTGGCCAACATGCTCAGTTACCTAAACAATACTTTGCCGCCGATGGTCAAAAACGTCCTTCAACCTTGGTCAAGGAGACTCGTCTCATGGGTCCGTTAAATGGTGTTCTATTCATGCACAGGAGTTTTGTGCACGTTATTGTGAGGGTAATTCTAGTAGTAAGTCGGAGTAGTTATCGACTGTGTTTCCTGGTTTCTCCAACGGCAACGTTCTTTCAAGTATGAGTTCTTGAAACGACGCTTTAGGCCGAGCCTCCACGGCCAGCACCAGCACCAGCACCAGCGCCTCCTCCGGGAGCACCGCCCGGTGCACCTCCACCACCCATCATGTTGCGTGCCCTAAAAAGAGTTAGGACTGACTTCTATGCTATTGTCACAGGTAGACCACTTACATGTCGGCAATGTTGGGATCGGACATGAGAGAGTTCAGGTCAGGCATACCGCCACCGCCACCGAAGCGGTCGGCCATCTCGCGCAGGCGAGGGTTGCTCATGAGGTTGTTCATCATGTCGGGGTTGCTCATCAGGTTCTGGGCCATGCTCGCGAACATGGGGTTGTTCATGATCTGGCTGAAATCGGGCATGCCTCCGGCACCACCGCCAGCTCCTCCGCCTCCGCCGAGCATGCTCGCCAGACTGCTCAGGTCGGGCATACCGCCCGCGCCACCGCCCATGCCGCCACCGACACCGGGTGACTGGCGGGGCAGGTCGCGCTCCTCGACCGACATCTCCTCGACACGTCGCTTGGCCGTCTCGAAGCCCTTCTTCATGGCCTCGCTGCCGCCGGAACCCTCGAACTCGATGCCCTTTCCGTAGGCTTCCATTGCGCCCTTTGCGTCGCCGAGGGCGAAGCGGGCGAGACCGAGGCGGGACCAGGCTTTCGTGTAGGCCGGGTCGACGGCGACGGCGGCCTCGGCGTCTGCCTTGGCGGATTCGTGGTCCTTTGCGGCGGAGTGGGCGGCCGCGCGGTTAGAGAGGAAGACGGCGTTGCCGGGGTTCAGGGCCAGGGCCTGGGTGTAGAGGGCGATGGCGGAGGGGTAGTCCTTTGAGGCCATTGCGGCGTTGCCCTTTGACTTGAGGGCGTCGGCCTCCTTCTTATCTTCTTCGGTCACCGTCTTGGAGGCCGAGGCGGCGGCGTCGGCCGCGCCTGCTGCTGCTGCGCCGGCGGAGGCGCCCGCTGCCGCGGCGGGGGTGGAGGCGTTCTTGAGCTTCTCGTAGACGGAGTAGACTTGGTAGAGGTTCTGGGCGCCGACGGCCTCTGCGAGGATTTTCTTGTCGGTGGGGTCGACCTTGAAGGAGTCTGCGATGCACTGGATTGCGACGTCGATGGAATCCTTGTCGTCGGCGGGGAGGGTGCCGTCATTGACCGAGGTGGATAGGAATTCGCAGATTGCGACGGCGAGGCGCTGTTTGGAGGTTACTGTCGCCTGGAGGAGGGGTAAAATGTTAGCTCATGATCGTATTTCTTCTCTTGGCTGTCTGTCCCTGGGCAAGGGGGATCGGGACGGGTTGCTAACCATTTTGACGATGTATGAACTTGTGGATGTGTATATAATCGAATAGAGGGAGGCCGACACGAGGATGGGGGTATCAAGAGGTGTTGTAAGATGGTGGGGAGCTTGGATGTTGTGTTGTTGGTTTTTTGGGGGATCGTCCTCCTTTGTTACGATGGCTGGCGGGTTGGGCTTTGCGGCTGCTTGGCTTGCCCGCGTCACTCCCCACGTTCTCTTTTCGCCCGGTCGGTACAGCTGTTTGGCTGGAAGGTTCCAGCGCAGCCGCGGTGAAGGTGGGGGGGACTGGGCGGGTGGGCGTCAAGCGGCGGCGGCGTTGGAGCCTTGGAGGGGAAGAGCCTGGAGGAACGTACCGGTTACCCCGCTGAATGGGACAGACGCATTTCCTCTTGGCTTCAATTTCATGCGATCATGCAGGTATACAGTTAAATGCACATAATATCTATGTTCATCACTATTGACCGCACGATAACAGATCAATACCTTAATCAGACTGATTCATTACTGTCAAACAGAGGCCGTAGAGATGAGATACGTCTCGCCATGCTGAACGACATCTAATCATACAGGAAAGTACTAAAGCAAAAGAGATATGCAATCATCCTATCCTATCCGCCAACGCCGTTTGATATGCAGGTGTGTACTGTCGCTGTTAAATATGTTTGATTTCTCATCTCAACATTCCCTAAGCGGCGGGAGAAATGGAAGAGGTCTGGTTCCTCCGCCTATCCACGTTGCGAATCTTGCGGAGGGGCTTGTTCTTCGCGAGGCGGTACTTGGTGTAGAGCCGAAACACGTCGCGGATTACCACGTACATGCAGCCTCCGACAAGGTTCCGGCCCCATTGCTCCTGGAGAAGACCTGTTCGGATCTTGAACCGACCAAAGGTACCCGCAGGAGATGTCCAGTGCTTTGGTAGCGCCAAACGGATAACCTCGCCCATAGCGGCGGAGAAGACTGGTAGCAGGAGTGTGCTCACGATTGCGTTTGTGACGTCCTTGAGGCTGGCCTGAATGCCACGCTGGCGTGGAGCTGCTGGCGCCGGCTGGGCTGCTGGTTGTTGCGGTGCCACGATCGGTGCTTGCTGTGGTTCGTTACCTGGCTGAGGCAACTGGGCAGGGAGGGCGGCAGCAATATCCCCGGCGTCATTATCTTGCTCCGCTGCATGTGCCTCCTCGATCTCCTCGACGAGAATCTCGAGGTTGACCATATCATGGTCCTGTCCCATCTCCACTTCTTCCAGCTCAACCTCCATCTCCACGTCGGGGATGTCCAGCATATCGATAGCCGCATCGATCAACCCTCCCACCAACCCGACGTTTCTAGCAGCTTCGTTGCCGCCCTCGTTGTTCCTACCGCGGCGGCGGCGGTTGCCGTTCTGTATGTTGTTCGCCTGAGGTGCGGGCTCGGGCAGTCCGGCAATTATGCGCTCCCACCTCTTCTCGTACGGGCAGACGAACTCGTGCCACAGGTTATTGTATACAGCTCTAATGTACGGGAAGCAGGCTGCCGCGAGTTGAGGGGACGGGGGCCAGGAGAAGAAGTGGTCGTCCTTGGCCATGTGGAATACGCCGTACTAGATCATGTCAGTCAGGCCCGCGAGGAATGAGTATAAAGAAAGGTATGCTTACCAGCGCGGCGACGGGCATGAAGAAGACATTGCCCAGAATAGGGACCGATGAGCCCAGAACCAGGGCGGGCGCGATGGTCGGCAGGATCGCGACGTGGATCCAGTTGACCATAGGCACGCCTCTGGGGTTCCTGTCGTTGAAGAAGAAGCGGTACGTCGCCTCGGGGCCCGCAAACACCCGCACCGCAATGTTGCCGTACATGGCCAAGCTGACCCATGTGCCCGCGCCGATCCCGCCGAGGATCAGGCCCGGCGACACCCTGCTGAAGGACTTGTAGATCTGGTTGCTGAGCGCGAGCGCCGGGTCGTAGGGCTCGTCAATGTTTATCTTGGCCTTGCAAACCGGGCAGAGGATCTCCTTGCCCTCGCGCTCCAGCTCCGTGACCCACTGGATCATGCAGTCTTGGTGGCCTTCGAGGGTGCAGGGGCACGGGTCGACCCAGGCGGACTCGGAGGCGCCGGACTCGTTCTCGTCCATGAGGCAGATGAAGCAGCGGCGCTCGCCATCTTGAAGCCCGGTCTGAAGCGAAGGTATCGTGTCGGTCATGCTGGGTAACTGGCGCGAAGGTGCTCAAGGTAGAGGTGGTCGGTTTGTTGAGGTTCGGGGGTGGGAGGTGCGGAGGAGAGTGAGGGTATATCGTGTGCGGGAGCTCTTGAGCCCACGGCGCAACAAGGTTCGCAGAAGTGGGAAGGTGTGTGCTTCTATCGCATGGTAAGGATTGCAATGAAAATCTATGGTTTGGTATCGCGAAGGTGTAGGGAAGCGATGCTGAAATGTGAACTATCGTGAGGTGGTTGTGAACAGCCTGATTGTCCGTCAGTAACTGGTCAAGCTTAAACGGGTGTGACATCAACCGCCCCAAACGTCCGATCAACCGCCAGTGGAAATCCATGGTGAGCCGAGGCGCAGGGTGGAGCCCTCGGGAGTTAAGGTGCTCGAGGTCATGTGGCTTGACAAGCTATGTCCCTCTAGCTTCTGTGTCGGTTCTGTGGCTGTGCAGCTGAGTCAGCATCTCCGTGACGGCACAACTGGACGGAAGGTATCAGTTATGCGATCTACAACTCGTTGAAGGCGAAACCAAACCTTCCCACCATGAATCTCTTTTATAGGGAGTCACAAGCAGGCCGTCATTGTTTCGGATTCATGCTAACAAAATCGAGCGTCTAAGAGATTCTGTAGTTGCTTGGGTAGGTGTATCGCCGTGACTAATACTTGGGGAAATAACATTTTCTCCTCATACGGACTCATTCAAAATTCGGCCAACAGCACAAAACCGTGATCATTGACGCGCAATACCAACTCCTACGTTTCCTTCCAGACAATTTCATCAAACTTTTCCTCATCCACGTGCTCTTATGATCCTGAAATACATAGTCATCGGTCTACGTCTTCCCCCGCGCCTCTTACCCAAGCTCAGACTTGTCAAGCGAATGTTCGCATCCGGTTCAATGGTGCGTACAACGGTCGTGTTGACCATCTAAGCCATAAGACCCAGGGGATTTACGCAGAGTACCGTATAAAGCTCCTGTTGACTGCTCCTGGACACGCGGAAACCACTAGATCATTGGGCTTTTCATGGCTATCGGTAAGGGAAGAGAGGCTTGCCGAATGGCGCTTTCCGTATTCGATCATGATCTTCGGACTCGAGTATCGGTATTGTCTTCCCATAATTCCCTGAGGCGTTCTTGAGTAACTGCCATAAGGTCAGTTGGAATATGAAATCCATACCTAGTCCAGCCTTGGTTTCATCTAGTACATTTGCCTGTAACGTTCCGTATATCTCAGTCAATAGGCGGATGTTATCAGTGTATAGTGAGCCTATGGTCAAAGAAACGTCCACGAAACTCAGAGCTGTTCCCATCTGTGCTCGGTTATAAATTGCTCCTATTTGTCCGTGTTCACTTAGAGTCGAAGATCTTTGTGTCGTATAAGAAAGACCAACATGGAGGGGCTGTCCCCCTTCAACTCCGATGATCATTGTGTAGATCTCATCAGCCCATGCCATTGACTCGATCCCAAAATTCAGGCATATGTTTAATATTTGGTATATTTCGTGGCTTCCCTCTTCCTCTCATCTCTCCACACTCCTTGCTCTGGTTTCTTCATCCCACATAGTATTCGAACGCAATCGGTCTCCTTACCTCCTTTCTTCGGCGACGGGCATATCATCAGGAGTGTTTTAGATAGCAGTATTATATACTGCCAATTGCCTGCCCCCCCCCCCCCTTCCTCCCTTTCTTGTCCCAGGCCTTGTACGAGATCAAGCAGCGGCTGCCCAATTCACGCCTTACTTGGGCTTGATCAGGCTCAATTGATGGTCGAGGCGTACAGGAACAATGCAAAATATAGAGACTAATTGCGCTCTTGCATCAACTAGTCCAGACTCGACATCATCGAACTGGCACGGGTATTCAAGCAGATCCCCAAACTCGAGGTCGAACAGGAACTGGTACAGGCATTGTACGGTAACCCTGATTCCAGATGCTTTGAGGAGAATGGCGGCGTCGAGCTCCACTCTTGGAAAGAGAAAGAGCATTGACGAAGTCTCCGAAGTAAAAGATGGGTTAACAGTCATACATGGTGACTTCCGATTTATCGACGAGTTCCTACCGAGATCATGTTCCCACGCCAGACTAAATCTTTCAGACAGGGTGTGCTTGACATCATCGACGCCAATAGGCTGTTCAAATCCATCGCTCGCCTTGCCGAGCCTGCAGTAAGGCTGTATCAACTCCAGAAGTCTGCATGCGCGGCGGGTGAAAGGGAACAAATCTTGTGAGCTTGAATTGGCCTTGGAAAACCATACCTGAGGAAGGATCAGGGTTGGGAAACCACTTCGTGACCAGAAGCTCGCCGAATGCTTTGGGATCCTGTGCGAAGATTTCCCTGGCCTCGAGTAAGCTGTGTCGCATACCTTAGTTTTGCCCTTCCTTGCGAGTTGTATCGCTTCTAATTGGCGATAGATTCTATCACAATCTTATCAATGTTATCAACTCATTTAATCGTCCTTGCGCGGCCCTGATTGTCGCAGGAGAATTGGACGGTCGCGACCGCACGGCTGATATGTCGTATTTGCTCTGGTGCCTCGAGCATCGCACACACGCTCACTCTTACATGTAGTTTGCCTGTGGATGCGGGTTATGTCGATGATGACGAATCCAAGACCTGTTCAGATCTGCATGGCGTAATCCCCGGAGATCCAGCTCGCAGTGCCAAAACAGTGACTGCATCAGTGGCAGTATCTCGCAGCAGCGTTTGAAGGCCCGATGTTGTTCAGATGGCCATCCCGTCGGCCACCGCAGGTTCGCCGTGCCTTCGGCGAAGGCAGGAGAATATCAAAAAGCCATCCGCGCGCACCGAATGCGATCATGATATATGCTGCGCCAACCCCTTGATTTTCAACGTCATCCAGGGCAGTGCTTCTGCCTCCCCCGAACGTAGATCTGCCGAGCTCACAAAATCCCCGGCGGCTTCCCGGCGGGATACGACGCTCACCGTTCACGGACTGTGGGCGATCGGGCTCCGAAATGACCCTGCAGATGTCATTTGCTTGGCCGACTTAGCGCCGCGATAGTGCCAAGGGCCGCATACTCCCCTGTCCGTCCGCAGCCCTGCCTCGAGGGAACGCGGCAACGCGACTTCGCAGGCGACGGCGGACTTGGTTGCACTACTGGCGCGCAGATCCGGATGCAGGTACGCAAAGACTTGGTCTCTGGCCTGTGACTGCGATGTAAATGGGATCCAGTGAGCTTAAAGCATGTTTCGTCTGAAGAGCACAGCCTGAGAAGGCCGCAGCAATCACAGTTCTGGGTTTGAATGTTTAGGTTGGCACGGGTTGCCACCGTGGCTGTTATTCTCCGCGGGACATCAAGGATTCTGTTTGGATCGAGGGGCCTCCCGTGGTGTTGTCGCCAACAAGATGATCGGGAAAAGTGCCAAAGTGTATGGGTTATTCAGCAAAACACCCTCCTCTCCAGTCTCAGCCCCCTTAAAACGCACAGATGGGAAAGATACTGTGTGGGAAAGTTTCGACACGAGCCACTTAGGTTTGAGACTCTACCGTTGGTCATCCCGTCTCACCATTTTAGCCCACATCGAACAGAGAAGAGAAACCCTGGCCGGGACGTCCCATTGGTGCTTCAGCCCAACTTGACAAGCCGCACGGCTTTTAATAGCATGAACGGCCTCCCGGCACGGCACATCGGATGGTGGGCGCTGCCCCGAGCGACCAGCTGCAGGTGTCAGGGAAGAAGAAATGGTACAGCCACCCATGCACACGCGTCCCCCTCAATAGATTTCACCCACTAATGAACCCCACCATGGCAACTCCACTGCCGGGAGGCCGAGTGGCAGGTGTTTGCCGTTGCCAAATGCTCAAACGTACGTCAGCCTCCTTGAGATGGGGTGGAAGTGAGGTGGTTGGCTCCAGCTTGTCCAGCTGGAACTCGCGTGATGGGTTCTCCTAGTAAAGCTCAAACACCAGGTATCCATGTATCCTGTCGATTCTGCCCTTCTTTAATGGAGACGATGACCCGCCATCGAAATAAGGGGGCGGGTTTGGTTTCCATGGTTCTTCACTGAAAGCCTCAGCCATTTCTCTCGTTCTATCTCTTCTCTTTTAAAACTTCTTTCCCTTCCAATATACTATCGTTGAATTGAATTTTAGAGGGTTCTTCCTTCGCCGTAAAATTACTCACAATGGCATTGTCTTTCGTTCGTCAAGCGTCGCTCGTTGCGCTTCTCGCTTCTACAACTTTCGCTCAAACTTTTACCGATTGCGACCCTACTAAGAGTAAGTTAAACTTTGGATCCGCGCTCATCTGAGGATATTTCGACATGTTTTCCACCTCATGGTACTCTATGCTTTGGTGGATTAAGTGTTTTCGCTAACACGAGATAACTTAGAAACTTGCCCCGCCAACAAAGGTCTGACAAAGAGCACCTATGAGGTTGACTTCACCAAGGGCGCCGACAACGATGCCTGGACCGTCACCGCCGGCAACATCACCTACGGCACTGATGGCGCCGAGTTCACCCTGAACAAGAAGGGTGATGCCCCCACTATCGAGACATCGTGGTACTTTTTCTTCGGCCGCGCCGAGGTCCTCATGAAGGCTGCCCCCGGAACCGGTATCGTCAGCAGTGTAGTTATCGAGTCCGATGACTTGGACGAGGTCGACTGGGAGTGGCTCGGCGGCAAGGATGCCGAGGTTCAGACCAACTACTTCGGCAAGGGCAACACCACTAGCTACGACCGTGGCGCGTTCCACACCATCGCCGCGACTCAGACCGAGTACCACAACTACACCATCGACTGGACCAAGGAGGCCGTCACCTGGTACATCAACAGCAACCTCGTCCGCACCCTCAACTACGCCGATGCCCTTGGCGGCAAGAATTTCCCCCAGACCCCGGCTCGCCTGAGACTCGGCATCTGGGCCGGCGGCGACCCGGACAACAACGCCGGTACCATCACCTGGGCCGGTGGCGAGACCGACTACACCAAGGCGCCTTTCACCATGACCGTCCAAAAGGTCTCCATCACC